GAAAACAAAAATGTATAACATTTTGTAAGATTGAATGATATCAATGAGTGATGAAATGGCCCAGTGGTGTAAGTTGGTAACTAGAAGTTGGTACCGCGAGCGCGCGGGTTCGAAACGCAGTGTTTACATGTAATTTTTTTTTTATAATGATTCACTTTTGAAGCTCCTAAGGCTATCCACCTCAGCAAGTTTACGGGCCCCATATGTATTATTAGGGAAAACAAAAACGTATAACATTTTGTAAGATTAAATGTTATCGATGAGTGATGAAATGACCCAGTGGTGTAAGTTGGTGACTAGAAGTTGGTACCGCGAGTGCGCGGATTCGAAACGCAGTGTTTTCATATAATTTCGTTTTTTAATTTGGGCTTTTCGGGATACCTAAAAGCTTAGGGATATTCCGAATGATTTTTTATGATGGTTTTTGGGATACAAAATGACTTAAGGATTTGAAACTTTATGAGACCATCTTAGATACTTTTATAAGAAATGTTATCATGTTCTAACCTCCAATATCATTTCAATTCAGTTATAATAATCAAATCAAATAAAAATATATTTTTCAATAATAAATATTTACCCCGAACCATTCAGATCGGCCATAAATCTCATATACATCACAATTAAAAGAAAATATATATATATACAATATAATTTCAGAAAGAAAATTACACTAATAAACACATGTCCTTTTTTGTCTTGTCTCCATTAAATTATTTTTTTACATGAAAGCACTAATAACAGTAACGCTCGATAAAATCACTAATAAATGGAATGCTCGATAAAATCACTACGAAGATAAAATATGAAAATATCATCCCAAATGAAATTGATGTTTATTCTTTTATCAGACTAATCAAGTTGTGTGACTTCTAATGTTTCATTCATCACCATTATAGATAAACCAGATAAACAAATGTTAAAAAAAAACAGCAACGTCTCATACACAAAACTACACAACATATCAATAATGTATCCAACCCGCGCGCTTGCGCGGAGACTATGCATCTAGTCTAAGATAATAGCAAACATTTCACATTTAGTGTTTCCATATATAATAAAATTTAAAATATTTATTTTCATTTAACATAAGTAATTTCAAAACATCAAATTATTTTAAGTATTTTTTTTACCGAATTAGGACTTTAATAAAGTTAAGATAATAAACAATTACATAATGTTTATCATAAAGTTAAGTTTTAAATCCAAAATAAACAAAAATAAAATACAAATTTAATGGATAATCAATAACAGAAAAATTGAACTAATATTGAAGCGCATCAATCAATTTTTTTTCTTATCACCATTTGTTTCATTTTCTTTAAATGACATTGCAAAATTTTCATGAAAATCTAAAAACTCATAAATTAAATAATTTATTCAGTATTGTTTCTCATTAAACATTTATCTAAATTTTAATCAAAATAAAAAAATACCATCAGTTTTATTAGCAGGATTTCTGGACTGTAACTGAGTTTTAATGATTTTCACCGGTATGACCGCGGCTGAGGTTGTCTCTCTAAAAGGCCCAACACGAATAATATGAAGGCCACAAACTAGCATCTTAAAGCAGAAAGCGGGATTCTTGATAATTTTATTTGGGCCTGTTTCGTCAATGAAAATAGTGTTGATGTAGTGAGAGTAGAGCAAATAAAATGCAGAAAGTAAAAGACACGTTTTCTCTTTTCGAATTCACTAGAACAAGAAAGTCTTACACCAATCTTTTCTATTACAAGAATCCTTTAGGATTAGACCAATCCTAAGCTAAAACTCACCCTAGAGTCTAGACTTTTGTTTATCAGGATCCTCCAAACCCCGAGCTAAACTCCCCCTGAGTCTAGGCTTCAATCTTCCAGAACTCCGGAAGTACTTCACCAAGTACGTCAGCAACTAACGCACAGCAATGACACCAAAGGCTTGATCACACAAGCAACACCAAAACGATCTCTCAACTTTTCTTATTGTTAGCAGAGACACTTTTCTCAATGGAGGCACGTCCTCCTTGTATAGTTAACTAGAACTTGCTCCTCAAGTTCTTCCAAAAGCAACTTAAGCAACTTTCCTTTTTCTCTTAAGGAATAACTCTCTTGCCTTTTCCTCTTCAAGTAATATCATTTACACTTAATGTAAATATTCCAGTAACTATATTATCTCTTCTCCAAGCTTAGCAAGCCCACGGACATCACAAAACACGAACTTCAACTTAGCCCAACTTCATGATACATGCATGTACTACCTCCTGTAGTACTTAACTAACTGACACAAAATATACATCTTCAATCTCCCCCTTTTTGACTATGCATGTGCACTCATCACCTCTGGATAGAAAACCACGTCTTCAATCTCCCCCTATGAGTCACATCATGGTCAAAAACTAATAAGAAGATGAATATCCTCCAAAGTGAGGATGACATCCCATACCACCATCTCCATAATGATCAAATCTCATTGGCCACGTATTCCTGAACATACCACCTCCATGATTAGCTCCTTGAACAGACCTGAAACAATCACGTCTAATATGCCCTTGAACTCCACAAGAATAACATATAGGACCATGACCCCTCATACCATAAACTTCCTCCATCTGATTTTTCTCCCTCAACAACTTGAAACACCTTGGCCTAATGTGCCCAACAACACCACAATGATGACAAACAGGCCGAAACTTTCGTTCATAAACCTTCCTAGGATCAGAACCATTACCCGAAGTAGTCGCTGTAGCAGTACGCGTAGTAGTACTCGTAGCAGTCGCCTTCTTCACATAAGTTGCAGCCTTCACTGCAGCCTTCCCATTTGTTTCATTCCCAGCACACACCTTAACCTCTGGCTTTGTAGCAGACGTAGCTACACCCTCAGTTTTTCTTGCTGGTACAAAAACACCTTCAGCTTTAGAAGATTCACCTTTGAATCCAAGACCACATCGATCACTTTGCCCAATGCTGAGAAGATGATCCAACTGATCCGTTCCATTATTTAGCATCTTCAAACCCTTCTGAGTCTCTGAAAGTTGAACACCAGCCTGTCGTGCTTCTTCTTCTTTCTCTGAGGCATACTTAAGTGCTTCAGCCACTTGAGTTTCTAGCTTGACTTTCTCTTTAGTTAACTCTGAATTCGCCTCAACCATCTTGAGCCAATGCTCATACAACTTTTCATAATTTCCAGCAAGATCAAAGTCTCCATCATCATCTTCACTTTCAGCACCAGAATCACTTCCACATGAAGACCCTGACGCAGACGCCGACGCAGATCCCGTCGCAGATCTTGTCTTAGAACACGAATCAAAAGTTGTGAACGCCACTAAGTTCTTCAACTCCTCACCATCATCTGAATCAGTATCAGATTCATCCTTCTTCTTGTTTTGCCTTTGCAAATTTGCGCAGTCCTTCCGAATATGCCCAAATCCATTACATTCATAGCATTTTACCTTTGATGGTGATCTACCTGAATCACTTCTTCTTCCATTCTTTATCCTATCTTCTCTTTGCTTCAGATATCCAGCAAAATCTCTTACCAGCATTCCCATAGGATCTTCAGAAGTTGAACTTTTGAGAGCAATTCCAACAGGATCTTTTTTCTTCATATCCTTATCACGACTCTTATCTTGATATGATTTGCTTAGCTCAAAAGCTTGAAGAATCCCCACAAACTCATCAAAAGCCATCTCATCCAGATTGTGAGCTTCTTCTACAGT